GAAGCCATTGATAAAATACTGCAAACGGTGAATATTTTTGGCATTGGGATAGCCAAAAATACTTTCTAGTCATATTTTTTTCCATCTCTATAATAGCATATTCCTCTATATAATTCTTGATAGAGATATTACCGTACAGTTCTATTCCAAGAAGAAACGAAAAGATAAAAGAGGTAATCTAATATTATAATATAGAATATACAGGATGGGTAACAAAAGGTAGTATTTAGTTCAACATGAGAATTGAATTCTCATTTAACATGAGAAAATCAAACCCATAATATATATGAGAAAAATTACTCTTATGTTACATGTGATAACTTTTTTTCGATCTACACAACATTCGATAAGTGTGCCACCTTTTTCTCTTCTTTTTTTTTTATTTTTCAGACGGTGGAGCCCAGAAATTTATCTCTATGACATAAGATAACTTATCTCCTTTAACATGAGATTAATGAAACCCAATATATATATATGGGAATAACATCTTTCATTTTAAAGGATATAAGTTTATATCATTTTAGATCATAATCGTTAATTTCTGTCCATTAACGGTTATAATTTATTGGATCAAAACTATTAATTAATTAATAATAAATGTGGCCCATTAAGTTTGACCCAATAGATTATAATCGTTGATGAACAGAAATCAACGGTCAGGATCTAAAATGATATAAGATTATATTCTTTAAAAGGATATGTTTTTCCATATATATACATATATATATATATATACATATATATAGGGTTTGATTTTTCTCATGTTGCATGAGACAAAAAGACAATTTGTCTCATGCAACACAAAAAAAAATGAGTGGGACCAATTAAGAATGAGAGAGAAAAAGAAAAAAATAGGTCCCATCCACTTTTGTGTGTGTTGCATGAGATAATTTATCTCATGCAACATGAGAAACACATTTTCCATATATATATATATATATATATATATATATATATATATATATAGGTTTCTCCTTTCTCATTTCACATGAGATAACATCTCTCATGCTATAAACACAACAAATGATAAGTCCCACCACTTATTAAAAAAATAAAAAATAAAAAGAAGATAGCACGAATTTCGATGCCTCACAACATGAGAAAACAATCTTCAACAACATGAGAAAATGATTTCCCATATATATATAGGGTTTCGATTTTCTCATGTTGTAGACACATCTTATGTGGGGCCCATATCTATTAAAAAAAATAAAAAAGAAAAAGAAAATATTGCACGAAAATCGAAGGGTCACTAGTAGGAGAAAACAACTCTCCTACGACATGAGAAAATGTTTTCCCATATATATATATATAAGGTTTTATTTATCAACTTTTTGTTTACAAACTACATTATGTCTGATCGGTCATACTTCAATCAAGAGTATATCACCGGACATATTTAGTGTAAATTGTAAAAAAAAATTGTAAATCAATTTTTGTCCTATATTATATATATATATATATATATATATATATATATATATATATATATATATATATATATAGAAAGATTATATTTAGCACCAATTAAGTTTATTATTTTCTACCACACAATTTTAATCATTGATCTTTGTCAATCTGACGGTTATAATTTATTGAATGATACTTATTAATTAATTATTAATTTTCAATAAAGTATAACCGTCAGATTAACAAAAATTAACGGTTAAAATTTGGTGGTAAGAAATGATAAACTTAATTGTGGTAACTATAACCTTCCTCATATATATATATATATATATGTGGAAAAATATTTCTCCGACAACATGAGAGAAGTTTATCTCTGACCACCCCAAAAATACGTCATTTTGCTTATTTATTTTCTTATATTAATTGATTCACCTTTGAATAGTTATGATTCTCTTTTTCTCTCTCTTCCTTTATCACAATTCCATCTTTGTACGGTTATGGTTATGATTTAGTAGCCAAAGATAAAATTATCTCAAGCAGCTTGAGAAACAATAAGCTCATATATATAAGGAGAATATACTTGCAACCATTTTTTCTTAGCACCAAAATTTAAACGTTGATTTTCGTCAATCTTTGTTAGGTCACACTTATTAATTAATTATTAATTTTAAATAAATTATAATAATTAGATTGATGAAAATCAAAGATTAAAATTTGGTGGTAAGAAAAAATGATGATAGTATAAGGAAAAACTTCAAAAAAAACCCTACAAGTTTCCTAAAATCACTTAACCCCCTCCCCGAATTTTTTAATCATTTACCCCATACTTAAAATTTCTTTATCATTTACCCTCCTAATTTGATTTTCCATCCAAAATTTTGTTAACAGAGTTAAATTTGTTAAAAGGTACCAAAATTACCCTTATTAGAAAAAAGAAAAACATAATTTCCTCACCAACGCAGTTTTAGACAAACTCATGGAATGTTTTCTTTAAGGTAGCCTTGTTATATTAGTAATTTTTAAAATTGTTTCCTGCAAATCCCATTGCTATTAAACAAGGGATAGGATATTGTGACACCCAAGTTATGTTACACCCATGTGACACCCAGTCAATCTCACCGTTAGATCGCTTATGTTGATCCAACGGTTATATTTATTTCCATCTTTGTATGGTCATGATTTCCCAAATTTAAAGTGAAAGCATTAAATATGGGAAATCATAACCATACAAAGGTAGAAATAAATATAAAATATTAAATTTGGGAAATCATGACCATACAAAGATGGAAATAAATATAACCGTTGGATCAATATAAGCGATCTAACAGTGAGATTGACTGGGTGTCACATGAGTGTAACATAACTTGGGTGTCACAATATCTTATCCCATTAAACAATACAATTTCCAAAATCGTATTTTATGTATACAATTAAAAACTTAATAAAACCAGTATGCCAAATTATTTTAAGTCCTTATACATGGCTAAAAATATCAAGGAGTTGATTGCAAAGAAACCAACATGATACTTAATAGAATCGTCCACTAATAACTCCCTAAGATGTAAATCATTCACTAATAATTCCATTGTTTACTAGCAATAGAATTTCCAAGAAACAACTTTAATAATTACTAATTCTAACAAGGCTACCTTAAAGAAAACATTCCGCGAGTTCGTCTAAAATTGCGTTGGTGAAGAAATTCTATTTTTCTTTTTTCTATTTGGGTAATTTTGGTATTTAAAAAAAAAATTAACTATGTTAACAAAATTTTGGATGAAAAATTAAATTAAGGGGGTAAGTGATAAAGAAATTTTAAGTAGGGGGTAAATAATTAAAATTTTTGGAGGGAGAGTTATGTAATTTTGAGAAAACTTGTAAGGGAGTTTTTGAAGTTTTCTCTAAATATAATTTATCCATGTATATATAAAAGTTGGGCAATTATTTTCTCCTCTTGCAGCCACACCGAAATCTATGACTTGGCTTTTTTTTTTTTAAACACTGGGCACCACCTCTTTGTCTTCTCTATAGGAAATTTAAAGTCTCTCTTGTAATAGGGCTTTGATCCCTGACAATGTGTATAAAAAAATCTTGTGGATAGAAGTAAAATTCATTTTGATAATCTTTATATCTCAAAAAGATTAGTATTCAACTATTGGTCAAAAAATATCTTAAAAAAACTAAAAGAAATAAAGTTCTCTCTTGTAACACCCGAGACTAAAGCCCATAAAACTTTAATTGAAATATAAGTATTTTTATTAATAATGATTTGCATTCATTATTAGTATATTTTTTAAATCAAAATCAAATTATATAATTTTGACGTCTTTAAGAAAGTTACATCGTAAGTTCTAATAAATTAAAATAGTTTTATTTTTTATGCATTTTATACAACAATGTCATCAAAAATAAAAATTGAGTTATATAATTCTTAAAAGAGAAAAATTATTATTACAAGTTTTTTGTTTATAAACTCTTACAAAATTATATTATGTACACAAGATAGTATATTCCAACACACAAAGTACTATCCTTAGTACATAATATAGTTTGTTAAATTTTTTTTATAAATATAACCCTTCCCTTCTTAAATTTTTAAAAGAATTTCTCTGTTACATTTTATACGATGATAATATTAATAATAATAATAATAATGTTTACACATCATTTTTATTACACTGCTTTTACAAAAATTCCTTTTTAAACAATAAAACAAGTAAAATACACAATTCAATACATTCTCTTTAGTCTTGATTTTAATTTTTCTAAACAGGGTGCGTTAAAAGTTATATGTTTTTGGCTTATTAAAATAAAAAATAAATTTAGTTTGAGGGAAACTGCGAGCAAGCAAATGCCTTTGCTCCATAAAATGTAAAACAAGATATTTAAAGAGTGGTTTGGTTGCAGAAAAATACTTTGAGGAAAGATAATATAAAGAAAAAAAAGAAAAACTTGAGGACATGTCAAGTGGTCACAAAAATTGAAAAATACTTAGGGGGCGTTTGGTTGAGGAGAAATTTTTTGAATACTAGGTAAATGTAATTGATAGGGAAATGGTTGGAAAGTGAGTTTGGTGGGAAACTGTAAAAAAAGTTGTTTGGTTGGAAAAAATTTTACCAGGAAAATTGAGTGAAATTCATGAATGTGTGTTTGGTTGAATATAAAATATTGATGAGAAAATTTATTGAAATTACAAAATTATCCTTTTAAAAATAACCCTTTAGCTTTTACAAAACTTATTGTGCAAACTTTGCTCACCTGTGAGGGATAATATTGTCAATGTTTTGTATCACTATATCAACTTATCTGATTTTTATAGAAATACCATGTTCAAAGTAGCATTCAGGAACAGTACTTTTCTTCTTTTTTAACGTGTAACTGTGGATAGTTAGCTAACTGATATTCATAGATAAAAATTGAGAATCCGTGAAACAAACGCACACAATTGACAAACTTAGAATCACTTGCCTGGGGAAATCGACAGAAGTCTTGAAACAAACACTGCCTTAAGGATAGGTCAGCTGACTCATCCAATACGTCTCGTGACGTTCAAAATTAAAAAAAATATAAAATAAAATCACAACTCATATTTCATATTCCAAGAATTGAACAGTGACAAACTCATACTGCTTTATGTAGTAGTTGAGCAGAACTTAACCTCAGTATTGTTGGTATAAATTGTATCCAAACTCCAAATTTAGAGGGCATGGTCAAGTGATATGGAGGACAAGTACCGCACCTATTTGCGTGAAGACGAAGAGAAGAACACCAATTGGAGATTTGGTGCCCCTCCTAATTATGATGCTGTCAACAAGCTATTTGAAGATGGCAGAACCAAGGTTTCTTAATTTCTCTTTCTCTGTTTATGCATTCAGAAATTAATAAAAGACTTGTTCATGTCAAACGTTCATGCTTTTGATGGCAGGAATGGCCTCTGGATTCACTTGAACATAAGGTCCAGACTCTTGTGAAGAATTGGGAGATGGAAATGTTCCACAAGCTGGATTTCCATCAGAACAGATCAGTGGATCCTAACAAATATACCTTCAGCCTAAACGGTAGCGTTTCATCTTATTTAAAAAGGATTATATATATATATATGGAAAAAACATTTCTAAAGCAGCTTGATAAGTTTATCTCTGGCCATTCCAAAACTACGTCATTTTATTTATTTATTTCCTTATATTAATTGATTCACCTTTGAATGGTTATGATTTCCTTTTTCTTTCTCTTTCTTTATCATCATTGATCTATCTTTATACGGTTATGATTTAGTAGCCGGAGATAAAATTATCTCAAACTGTTTGAACCCTATATATATATATATATATATATATATATATATATATATATGTATATATATACGAGACTTAATTTTTTTGCAGTTACTTATCTGCCACACTAGATTACATGGTGTAAATTTTGAAATGTAAAAAATAATATAGTTCATTTCGACAGTTATAATATGTATTTTTTGAAATACATAATGTATGTGACTTGCAGCAATTATAATTTTTTTTTCATATATATATAATATAAGGATTATTTTACATTAGTGTATGTTATACTCTCAGTTTGATCCTTAATTTTATTTATATCTAACTATTCTCATTTATCAAACATTTGAATGTAACATTTTTTATTCTTACATGCCACACTAGATTACATGGTGTAAATTTTGAAATGTAAAAAAAATATAGTTCATTTCGACAGTTATAATATGTATTTTTTGAAATACATAATGTATGTGATTTGCAGCAATTATAAAAATATTTTTTTCCATATATATATAATATAAGGATTATTTTACATTAGTGTATGTTGTACTCTCAGTCTGATCCTTAATTTTATTTATATCTAACTATTCTCATTTATCAAACATTTGAATGTAACATTTTTTATTCTTACACCAATATATATATATATATATGGGGTAAGATATTCTTACACTAGTGTAAGAGTTAGAAGTTTTACACTCAATCTTGATCATTGATCCACTTGTATCCAATGACTCACTTTACTAAAAAAATTAGAGCCTTTAGATATAAGTGAGATCAATGGTTAAGACTGAGATGGTAACTTACACCGGTGTAAAATGATCCTGATCCTATATATATATATATATATAAAATTTTTCTTACAACATTTTGTGGATCCCATGTTTTTTTTTTCTCCTTATATTTGGGGGGTTTGACCTAAGAAATGTGAATTTCAAACAAATCCACCAGTTTAGTAGAGGTGGCAATATGAGTTGAACCCGACGAGTCAACCCGCCAAAACGAGGCGAGTTGGGTTACATATTTCAACCCATCAACCCGCCTCGTTGGGTTGTGGGTCAAAACGGATTGGCAAAACTAAGGAAAATGTTATATGAAAATAAGTAATATTATAATATTAATAAAATATAATTTATTACCATAGAACGCATGCGTGTTTTTGACTGTAACGAGGCTATGCCACGGAACGCATGCCTCAACATGACGCATTTTGGTATTGTGCTAATCAGACTTGTCAGAAACGCGCACCTGGTATAGACGTGTTCAGGTACGAACGTGTTGAAACTTGTCAAAAACGTGTACTTGATACAAACGTGTTCAAACACGTACAAACATGTTTAGATTTATCAGAAACATGCATGTGTTAGGTGCGTGACTAAATGCATAGCCACATGAAACATGTCTTCCTGCATTAATCCGATAAAACAGTTTGGTGAACCAACTAAACAAGTAGATTTTTTTGAAATTTGCATTTCTTAGGTCAAAAGCCCTTATATTTGTGGTTTTTTGAACTTTATATATATACACACATGCTTGATTGTGATTTGGGAGGGGTGACAGGAAGGAAGCCTATAACTTTGGAAGAGAAAAGGAAACTTGGTGGAGGGTATATCCCTCTACTGCAAACATCCCTGCCAGAGAAACTCATGCCTTACAATCCATATAAAGAAACAGCAGATTCATCCCAAAAGGATTTTACGACGACGTTCCCACGTGGGTTTGCTTTGGAGATTCTCCAAGTGTATTCTGGACCACCCGTCATTGTTTACAAGTTCAGGCATTGGGGTTACATGGAAGGTCCTTTCAAAGGTCACGCCCCAACTGGTGAAAAAATTGAAGTGTATGGGATGGCCATTTTCACGGTAAAATTACTTCCTTCCCATTTCCAAATCCAAACTTATTATTGTTAAAGAAAAGTGTGTGTAAGACACATTCAGGTCATTTTAGGAGGTTAATATAAAGACATGAGACCCGTACCTTTTTTTTTGTCAGTGAAACCTACATTTTTTTGTGTCTACTACTCTACTGAAATGACTTAAATGTGTGTCCTTTAATTTTTTCTTATTATTATTATTAATTTTTTCACTTTGTAATTTTTTTTATCTTTAATTTATTCTTTTTTGGGTCACATCACAGTTGGATGAGGCTTCGAAAATTGTGAAGGTAGAGTTCTTCTATGATCCAGCAGAACTGTTTGGAGGTCTATTGAAAGGTCCTAATTTTGATTGCACTGATGAAGATGTTGTTTCAGGCTGCCCTATACTTAGGAACACCGGGTAGAGCAGCACAAGTTCAAAGTTTAAACTTGCAACGTCATAAGTAATAATCCAAGCAAATTAAGGTTGTGATACCTTCTTGTGTGTAATAAGTTTAGTCAATTATCAGAAATTTTCAGTCAAGCTTGTCGCAAATACTTTCAAAAGTATCGTATGTATTCAGTCATCATGAATTTAACTCAGTTTCGCATTTATATATCAACCAATTTCAGATAAATAGATGACGCTTCCCTAAGGATTTGATGTTTTTGATCATTTGTATACTCGATGTTTTTGATCATTGTGAAGGAGTAAAAGGATGAAATTTTAGACTTTGGGGGTTGTTATTAGGGAACAGTGATCATTGTGCCACTGTTCACCAACTTTTTTACTTAAATGTCACGCGAACAATATTATTTTCCAATCTGCCACGGGACAAGTTCGCTTCTGACACAAGCGATCTCGGTTTGCTGATGTGTCAGCTTCCTGGTGGTGTCAGAGTTCGCTTCTGACACAGGCGACCTCGGTTCCAACAATATTTTAACCAAGTTCCCCTACATGGTAGGCGAACTTCATTTTTTTTGAATTTTTTTTTTTAATTTAATACTTGTTATCCACTAAAAAAGTGACACGTCAGCAAACTGAGGTCGCTTGTGTCAGAAGCGAACTTGCCCCCGTGGCAGATTGGGAAATAACACTGTTCGCGTGGCATTTAGGTAAAAAAGTTGGTGAACAGTGGCATTTTGGTCAGTATCCCTGTTATTAGGGAGCGTTTGGGTACATGAGATATTTTTTTTACCAAGTAAATATAATTACTAAGAATATGGTAGGAAAGTGAATTTGATAAGGAAATTTAAAAAAAGTTATTTGATAGGCCAAAATTTTACCAAGAAAATTGGGTTAAATTTTGCGAATCTTTGTTTGGTTGAAATAAAATAACGATGGAAAAATAAGTTGAAAAAACGAAAATAACTCTTATTAAAATTAATGAGGTCAATGAAGAGACAATGGATGGATTGACACATAAGCTTGCTTCCCTCAATGCTTACTTCAAGCCTGATTCATATTGATCTAAGTACCTTCTCTTTTACCTTGTCTGGTCCCTGTTATTCTCCTTTAAAATCATTGTTTTCTCTGCAAAAGCTTCGGTTGCTGGGTTTCATAACCACTTTCAACAAGCTGTGCAAAGTGTATAAGCTTTCAAAAAGGCTTGCATCGAAGCAGATCATCAGTGATGCTTCGGTTTGAGAATCATATGCTTCAATGATGCCTTAGATCGAAAACCACTTGCTGTCGGTTTTGGCCATCTCTTCTGCAACCCTTGAAATTTGGTAAAGCACTGATACCTCACCTTAATAGGTGAAATTTTAAAAAATTTACAATATTTCAGTAGATATTTTGATTCCTTAAAATAAATAAATTAAAATTTCGGTAGAATTTTAATAGACACTCCTCGCATGGTTGCTTAGGTAGCATTTAAGTATTTATCCAATGAAATTTTATTTATTTATTGGGTTTTGTTTTTGCCATATGCGCCTGGTATGTTAAAATCGCCTTGAAGGGTAGCTGCAAAAGACCTCTTGGGCCCAAGAAGCCAAGAGGAGGCATCTCTGTTATTCTATTTTATTTTATTGTTTTATTTCTTTAAATATTGAAATTAGAATGACAAAAAAATAAATACTGTGGAAAAAACACGTAAAGTAGAAAGACTATCCAAAAATTCTCATTGCGAAAGTACAATACAAATCTATGCAGAATTAATCTGTAATGTAAATGGTTTAAATTATAAATATTTTAAAGAAAACTCCACCTAATTAACACCACCGTCTCAAAATTGTTTAAGCGATTGCGAAGATAAAATTTCGAAAATACTAATTTATGAGAAATAGATAATACGATAGTTAATGTTTGGAATATTTACATTAAAATTATATTTGTAATTTTAGACTTTTTCATTAGATTATGTAACCCCCTTATACAAAATAATTTTTTAGTATAAACTCAAAACGGAAAAAATCAATTAAAACAGAATGTATAATACTACAGTGTAATTAATAGTTAACATTATCATTAGTACTTCTTAAGGTTAGTTTATTAATATATATAGAATATAGATATAGATAGGGAGAGGACACCCCTAAATCATCAAAGAATGGTTACTTCAATGTATTTTTGCTCTTCATCCTCCATGGCTTCCTTCTTAGGTAGCATTCTATTCCTGCTAAGGTGATAATATCCAGATGAGGCTTAGGTCATTGCTTCAAGTTTTTGAACTTAATCATTGTTACTCACATACAACTTTGGCAGTTATAAGGAAACATTTGCCTTTATTTGTATAACGTTTACTTTAAGGCATCCCATGTAATGCTATAATTTGGACGGCAAATAAAAGACAAACTCATGCTTTGGAATATCAACCCAATTCAATTTTGACACATAATGGTTTGAAAAAACAAATCATAAATTACATAAATTCTCTAATCAAAATAAACAGTAATTTTTTAGAGGATCTTATAGGCCAAACGAGCTAATTTAGATAAAAATTAAGAAGCCACTTCTTCTGAGGCAGTGAGTGCATGATCCATTTTTTCATTCTATTTTCTGCTTCAACACGTCCTAATTACAACAATCATGTCACCAACAGTGTCATCTACTTTTGAAACAGAGAGGCAACCTGTGAGATTTGCACATACAGTTTCAGAGGCAGGTCGTCTTCTTCCTTCAGCCAGCCGCTGGAGCTCTATTCAGCTTGACTACAAACTTGTTCCCAAGTCTTCCATTGCCTATGATTCTATCCCTTCCCAATACCCAAAATCTGTTGACTACAATCTTGTTATCACTGATAGAAAACACTTTCATCGTTTTGTTTTTGTGTTAGTATCAATAATCTTTGCTATCTTAGCAGCGGTTCTGCTGGTGCACTTTTTACATCAGAAGCACAAGCATCAAGATTCTTCAATCAATCTCAAACTGGCAATAAACCAGGCTCTAACATTTTATGATGCCCAAAAATGTACTACTTCTCTTTGTGTTGCAGCACATTTCCTTTTCCTGCTTTGTTTCTTTGTGGTTAGAGATATAATATAAAACTATACATGTGTTGTAATTAAAAGTTTAAGCTCTCTCAAGAGTTGTTCATAACATGTTATCAAAACTTCTATGATCTAATAATCTACAGTTTTATACTTGTCATCCCATTCTTTTAATTAAAAAGTTGAATTCCACCTCAAGATAGATGGGTCCATGCATTATTACGCTTACTTCAAACTTAAAAGGCTCTTGTATATCGGGATGTGTTAGAGATGTGATATAAAATTATTCACGTGTCTTCATCAAAAGCCTAAAACTTTTGGAAGAATTGGTTCATGACATTTGTGTAATTCATTATTTTTATTTATTTTTTCAGCTGGGCATTATCCAAGGAAAAGTCCAGTGAAATTTCGGGGAGACTCAGGATTAGAGGATGGGAGTTCAGCTAATGCTAGTCTTACTGGTGGATTTTATGATTCTGGCAACAACATTAAGTTTACCTTCACAACAGCTTATACTATGACATTGTTGAGTTGGAGTGCTATAGAATATCAAAGTAAATATGCTGATATTGGTGAGCTTGACCATGTCAGGGATATCATTAGATGGGGTAGTGACTACTTGCTCAAGGTGTTCATTCCCCCAAATTCAACAGTTGGATCCCACCTTACACTGTATTCACAGGCAAGTTATAATTTTTTGTACCATAATTCCTATTCTGAATTACATACTAATTGTTATAAATAAAAATTTGTTCTATGTTTTTCTATTTCATTAGGTTGGAAGTACCATTAGTAATAACGATGTGCACAATGACATAAGTTGTTGGCAACGACCTGAAAACATGAGTTATCCGAGACCAGTTTCAATTTGTGATAGCTCTGCTACAGATTTAGGTGGTGAAGTTGTGGCAGCATTATCAGCAGCATCGATGGTGTTCAAAGAAGAGGAAGATTACTCAGGGAAACTAGTCCAAGCAGCAGAAAGCCTATATGAGGCAGTGATAAGTGAAGATCCTACGAAGCAAGGGACTTACACCATGGTTGATGAGTGTGGAAAACAAGCAATAATGCTTTACAACTCATCTGGTTACAAAGACGAGTTGGCCTGGGGAGCAACTTGGTTATTTCTTGCTACTAACAATGCTTATTATCTTGCAAATGCAACTGATAGTTTTATATCAGCCAAGAGTGTTGAAACAAATTTTGACAAAGGGATCTTTTATTGGAATAACAAGCTCGAAGCTGTCGCGGTAACTTCAACCAACACTATGTTAAGCTTTTGGGTTGAAATGAATGTTTACATGATATCAAAGCTTATCTTGTTTAACATGTTAGAGAAATACAATATAAAATTAGTAACATGACCATTTTGAACTTTTGAGTTGAGAGGTTAGATGAGAGAATGTTAATGCAGCTTTAATTTTAACCTGAACTTGTAGGTTTTGCTAACGGGTATTCGATATTTCCGTGATCCTGGCTTCCCTCATGAGGATGTTTTGAAACTCTCATCAAACTCAACCGATTCACTCATGTGTTCTTATCTATTCAACAAATATTTGAGCAGGACAGCTGGTAATTAATTCTCTGATCAATTGTAACTTTACATTATTTGCTTGTGTTGAATTAATGTCCAACTATAGAGGTATATATATGTCATCTGTGTATATGATTCATATTAAACATAATGGTAGGTGGATTGATAATCATGGAACCTGATAATGGGTCATTACTCCAGTATGCTGCAACAGCATCTTTTCTTAGTAAATTGTATAGCGATTACCTTGATCATCTCAAAATACCTGGTGCAAGTTGCAACACTGATGTATTCTCGGTGGCAATGCTTCGTGATTTTGCTAGTTCTCAGGCAAATTCCTAGCCTCTTGAACATTTTGTACTGCAACCTATAAATTGTAAATAGTCTAATTTTTGGTTCCTTTTGTTACGTGCTCTTCAGGTTAACTACATATTAGGACAAAATCCTATGAAAATGAGCTATTTAGTGGGCTATGGTGACAAGTTCTCACTCCAAGTTCATCACAGAAGTGCATCAATCCCTTGGGGTAACCGGAGTTACAATTGTGATGAGGGTAAGGGATGGCTAAACTCTAAAGACCCGAATCCACAAGTTCTTTTGGGAGCCATGGTGGGAGGGCCAGACACAGATGATAAGTTCACGGATCTAAGGAGCAATGGAAGGTTCACTGAGCCAAACATAGCAAGCAATGCTGGCTTAGTTGCAGCACTGATTGCACTTCAAGATCCTCCGTATAATTCACGTGACTTCAAAAACTTATTGTGGGGATGAACTTGATCAATATATTTCAACATGTCCATTCGATTCCTTATACCATATTGAAAGTCTTACGTTCCATTGCTCTCACAGGAACAGGATTATGAGAATATGTATGGGAAAAAGGATGTCTAGAAAACTTCATGCTGGCAACTACAATTAAAGCAAATGAATTTCATTTGAACATCAATCATTTGACGGATAGAATTTTAATGACATTGTTCATGTTACTTAATGTAAAGTTCACGCATCTAACATGCAATTTTGTCTGAGAAGGACAGAACCGGAATTTTATTTTTTCAGGATTTTGAATTTTTGACACAAGGCATGATTATTCAATCGAGAATTCAATCATGAAAATTATTGTGAAAAATAAAAATCTGGTCACGCAGACAATTTTATTTGAAGGAATGCTTAATAGTATCTTCAAGATTGGGATTTCTTCTAAATAGCAAATCCTGCTTGTGAAAGCCAAAAAAGAGGAACACGAAAAGAAAAGTGAGGTATTTGCAATCGTAAAACTTACGATAATAGTGAGTTAAACTTAAACCTTATGCTGAGCTATCATTTTATCTTTGAAAATTCTTGTGTGAGCACTGCAAGCTGGAGCATATAGCCCCTTTTATAATCCAATATAAGAGCACATGGTTATGGTCAATAACAACAAAACATATATGTATCTCAGGAATTACTCAACTCTAGCCACCAAGTAGTGCATATCTAATCATTCTTCAATCTCTACCAGCTTAAGCTTTTAGGGGGAAAAAAAAGTTTCATGACATAGTGTGAGTCTCTATGATTACATGGTTATTAGTTTGATCCATAAAATCATCATTCTTCATGATGAGATCAAATTTTAGCGCTAGGGATAGCGGACTTGCCGTGAAACTGCAAGCCAATTTTATCTCAGTTTGGTTTCCACAGTTGGTTTGAAAAATACCTTCTCAAAAGTAAAACAATTTTTTTTTAGTTTCTTTAAATGATTCATCCTTCGGACTAGTCTGGTTCGAGCACTGTCGGACCCTATAAAGGGAACGGTTCTCCCAAGATCATTTTTTCCATTTCCAGGAATCGAACACAAGACCATTAGTTAAGAGACACAAGCTCCTTACCACTTGTGCCAACGATATTTGATAAGTAAAATTAAACTTACACTTTTGTCATATTCAAGTCTAATTAATTTTGCGTGTTTAACATGTAGCACACCTTCAAATTAGATCCTCCGTGTAGATAAAATCAAACTGAAATTCAACTAACAAAAAGTTGATGTATAAATATACCCATGTTGACCAGCCGGATGCAAACTTGTAACTAAAGAGTTGTATTGATACAAATTTCACTGTACAAGCCATTTACATGAGAAGAGTGGAGACGGAAACCAAAATGTATAATACACAAACCTGTACATCTGTTCTTCTATCTTGACTTCAAGTTGACTTAAGCCTGTCCAAGTTATATACTTTCTGTAAAAGAAAAAATATATACTCATAAGTCATAAGTATGTGACAGGAAATTGAATGAGCATGACCAATTGATGTTATGTTTGGGAGCACGAAATCAAACTTACTAGAATACAATGGATATCCTCAAGAAAAGGCACAAGCAAAGACACCAAGATCTGCATTTTCTCATTTAGGGTATCACAGTTTTCATCTTTTTCCCTGAGGAGATCCACGAAAGTTTTACTATCTGGCACTAGTTTTAAAGCCACCTGCAGTGCCATTTCTGTTAGTTAAGCATAAACCAATTGTTCAATTTTGGTCCCTATGCTAAATTGTGCAAGTTTTTTATTAAGTACAGGATTTCATAAGGTCAAGAATTTGAGAAATAAATGTCCCATGACCATAGGTTAGCCTATAAAATCCATCAACAAGCATAAAACTGATTGAATAAAGGAAGAAAAGAAAAAAAATGGTTAGTACTCTGAAAGCAGCTGATGAAATCCATCCATGCCAAGGTGCCAAAGTTGCAGCATAAGACTCTTGAACTACTTGCTCCATATTCTTTTGAGGATCTTTTGCTAGTGTTTGTAACAATGCTGAGGAGAAATCCAGGGATCTGCAGAGCGGCACAACTGTAAGTGAAAATTACGAAACTTACACATATGGAGAGTATACAAGGAAAGATAATTTCTTCCTTTCATTTAATCTGAGTAACAGTAATTGGTCTGTTCTTTTTTCTCAACAATTTTAAGAGTTGATGATGCAACCTAAACCTAAGTGTAAGGAATAACAAAATAGGAAAAGAAAAGAACACTAAAAATATATGATCACCTAGTGAGCCAAACAAAGGCTTTACTGCAACTACACCTCTTCCTTGCGTTGCCTTTGCTAGCTTCTGATTTCAATATCTCAACCAGATTTGAATTCAGTGAGGTATTTGATTCATACATCACTTCCAATCTCTGCAATAACACAGAACATAATAGCATAAGCTAATAATTTGCAGTTGACTGGTAGAGCAATGTGCAACCATATGTTTAACTGAAAAACTGGTAGTCAATACACCTCATGCTAATAGACAAGAAACACACAAATTTTAAAGGTAAAAAGAAAGAAAGGAAAAAAAAATAAAAAAAAATAGTAAATTGAATTGAGAGTTTGGCTATACCATAAAAATTTTATTTTTACCTTAATATTCTGTTGAACGTCTTGTCTCAAAACAACCATTGTTGGCCCTATCTTATCTGCAAGAGCATAGTGACAATGTGTTTGGTGTTACATCACAATCATGTTTGGAAAATAAAGAGAAAAAGTAAGTAAACCCACCAAGAACTTGTAGAACCAAGTAACATAGAGATAGGAAAGGCTTGGTGGGGATGTGTGCAGCCTCATGATTTCCTCCAGGTTTAACTATAACAAGCATGGATAGTTCATCAATGACAGAGTTTACCTCTGATCTCTTCTCCATATCTCTGCTCCTTTTCATATTCCTTATCTTACCTCCTCCTCCCTCTTCCACTTCTCTGATAGTCTGATATATATATATATATATATATATATATATGTATAGATCCCAATACCCAACTGGGGTTCTTTATAAATACGTTTAACTTGGTCTTCCGATTGTTATTAATTGTTCAAATATTGTACTTGTACATGCTAGTGGGTAGAGACTAGAGAGAGGGGGAGAGAGAGAGAGAGAGTCTTGCTTTGCCATTGATTGATTGTCCTACACTTCTGGTAAAATAGCTTCTTTGGCTTAAACTCTTTATTTATTTATTTATTTATTTTGCTTTGCTAATAATATTCTTGTGCTATCATTTTTCTCTCTACGCCATTGATAGTGACTTTATATTTGACCTTGTAGTAATCATGATCTATTCCACCTCCCTACCTTGTGTTAATAAAACATTATCTGAATTAATCAAATCCATGTAGGTCCCATGTCTTAAATTGACAAGGCAAAAAAATCTGGCCGTTTATCTCAAGTTAGCATTAACTAGTTGTCTTTTTACTGCTACTTGGAATTTACAAATCTTAGTGTCAATTCTTGGGCCTTGCTTCAGAACTTCATTAGCATGATCTGCTTTCACAATTGGGAGAGAAAATGTCATTCTTTTTGCCCATTGCTGGTGTTTGGATTCGACAGGAGATAATATAATAGATATTAAAATCCTAATTTATTGTATTTGGAAATGGATTTCCATTGTTGTTAGTCTTTTTTTATTTTTTTGGACCGAATTCCATTTCAAAATACATTAAATTAGGATTTTAATATCTATTAAATTAGTGCTTGTTCTGACATCAAATTGGTTCTAAAATAATCAAGCCTATAAACCTAATTGGATAATTATCCCCAATCTTGTATATGGAAAAATGTTTTGTGCCCAAACCCATCCCTATTTTACAATCCCCGTACCCCACTTAGGGTGGCAATCAGTTTTGTGTTGGAAGTTATTCAGTTTTGTAACTGGTAACATGTATAGCAACCACACGACAAACCTTTGATATGTTCCTGTCCAAGGATAGGGTTTTTTATTGTTGTTTTTTTTTTTTTTCAGAATAGCGCATTCCTAATTATTTATCTGCTGTATTTTAAATCATCTGGTTGAGTTAGTTGCTCATTAGTGGATACGTATGGTGTTCTCCATTTCAGAATCAATTTTACAGTTACATCAGCGTTCTATTATGAAATAGAAGTTTAAAGATTTATCTTCAAGCAAGGATATTGTTCAATTGAGTGATTGAGTTAGTTCTATCTTATTGAAAATAATAAAAGAAAAAAAAAAGAAATAAAGAAAGGAGGAGAAGAATTGAAACTTATAATGATATTACAAATATCAACTTATCTCAAAGAAATAATTAAAGTCAATATAAAAAAAAAAATTGTTCAGGAAACAAAGGTGACAACTTGAAGTTTTTTTTTTTTTTTTAAACAACTTGAAGTATTTACTACATAGAATATAATTTTGGTGTATTGTTAGTGTACAATATTTGTACACATAAATTTAATAAGTGAAGTGTTATATTTATAAACTAAATTATTTTTAAATTTTTACAATCAAATTTTAACAGTTAATTTTCATCAATCTAACGATTACAATTTATTAGATCACACTTATTAATTGATTGTTAATTTTCAATAAATTATAACTATTAGATTGATAAAAATCAACGATTAAAATTTTAGTTATAAGAATTTATACGCGAAAAATTTTATAAATATAACTTCTTCAATTTAATAATATTAATATGTTACATCACCCGATAAGTTTAATTATGTCATTATTTTAATATTTAATCAATTTCACATCATCTTAATTGGTTTTTATAATTCGAATTTTAGTTTTATTCTTAAAAGTGTGCTCACTTATTCTTGTTGAATATTACTGTATATTGAAGGATTCGTTTACAAATTTCTTTTATAAATTTTTGCAAGCTATACTATGTACTCCCGAAAGTACATAATGTACCTTAGTATATTTCTGGAAATACATTATGTAGTTTGTAAACAAAATATTTATAAATATAACACTTCTCTTCTTTTATTCTTCTTTGCAAAGTTTTTTTTGGCATACAATGTTATAGTATAACATAAATGTTAGCTTAAAAAAAGTGCACTATTATAGATATATACTTTAATTTTTAAAAATGGAAAACTTGTGTCTACGAATTTTTTTTTTTGGAAAACCAGTTCATGCAACAGTTTCTCTTTTTAAAGTTTGAGTTCAGCCAATACAATAGCTTTTACCTTTTCGTTCGTTAAATTTAAATTAAATTAAAAAGTACATTATAATTTTTATTAGATTAATAAAATTATGATAATTTACATTGTTGTTAAAAATTAGTGTAAAAGCCAAAAAAAAAAACTAGTGTAAAAACATAAAAATTTATGTTTTTACTAAAGTTGCACGTATTAAAACGCAAGTAAAAATTCTTCAAAAAAAAAAACTGGTAAAAACGTCATGTAAAAACGTAAATACAGTGAAAACACGAGTTTCTACGTTTTTACTTAAACAAAAAAACTGAACCGGGTTTTATAACAAAAAAAAAACTAAATTGGGTCAACTTTAAACCCACGACTATATTAAAAAAAATAAATCTATTTTCATTTCTCCCAAATAAAAATGCACAGTATCTTCTTTTAGCTATCTGGAAAAAAAAACCTCACTCGTGGTTGCTGTTGCAAAGAAAGAAGAGGGTGAAGTCACTGGTGAAGAGTTTGAGTACCAAGCTGAGGTGAGTTTAAAATCAATCTATTATGTTTTATTGCAAATGAACTTGTTATAGGAGCAAGAGAAGAGAACATTGAGGACAAGCAACTGATGCAAGATGATGTGTTTGATTTGAATCAATTGATATAATTTAAGAGTTATTAAACTTTATTCTTTGATGTTTTGGAACTTGGTTGTAGGAGTTGTTAAACTCTTTTTGTGTTTTTGGATATACGTCTTACATAGTTATGTGACTTATATATTTTAAATATAAAGTTTTTCATTGAATTAACAATAGTGACTTATGTGACACACACACACACACACATATCATTTTGTATATTGATCTTTAAGTAGTAAAAATTTTACGTTTCGTGTCATTTCTACGATTTATGTTTCTACCATTCTTTTCTTTTCTACGTAGAAACTTGATTTTAACAACATTAATAACTCACACACACACATATATCAGTCCACAAGAGTTAGGCCTAATAATAATGGGTATACTCAACCTCTCATGTTGCAGGACAAAAATTAGATTTCCTGCAAATAGAGGACTATGGTGGGACCCACTAACAAATTAAATCAAAAAAATAAATAAACACCACCATTTCGATGTCTCGGGAATGAAAATTGGTTTTCCAGCAAAATAAGAAGTTGATTACTCAATAATCATATAGGTTGAATTTGGTCTAAATAGGTGTTTTGTTCAGTCTAGCAGAGGAAACATGATCTTAGCTTTGTTGTATGGGATGGGATCTTCAATGACACAACTATGTTTTTTCTAGAACAAGGGAGGATAGGTACATGCAAAGTATTCTGACATTCAAGTCGGTATTTAATTAATGAACTTAAATATATTCAGAGAAGATGATCGTATCTGAATGTTGACTTCTCCTTCTATAATATGTGGTGTAACTAGGAGTGTGCATAGGTCGAATTGAACTAAATTTTTTAAAGAACTGAACCGAATTGGTTTAAACGGTTCGGTTCGTTTTGAAATCGGTTCGAGTTGAACCTATTCTGAAAAGAAAAGAAATAAAGAGATAAAATGGTTCGATTCGTTTTGAAAACAGTTCGGTTCAGTTCTTGAATTGGTTTCTAAAAACCGATTCAGTTCTTGAACTGGTTCTTTAAAAACCAGTTCGGTTCATGATTTAATCTTTAAAAATCGATTGTTTTAAGAACAATTTGATTCAGTTTACAGTTGAGTTCAATTTTTTAATTCTTTTGCGTGTATCCTACTTGATAGCTCATGTAGCCTCAATATGGGGGCATGCTAGATGTGTTTTTTGATTGACTAGTTTAGAAGACCTTTTGAGCCAGAGTTAATTGGAATCTTGTCCAGATCATTATGTCATTGGATGGTATGTAGGTTCATGAATCCATGAATACTGGGGCTTAATTATTTACTTTGAAGAATGTATATATACAGATAAAACATATTTGCTTATTAACTTAGTATTTAATTTGAGCCTTTATCTTATATTGGGTTATAGCTTCGTTATGCCCTCCACGTGCAGAAGTGCTGATGTTAACAATTTACATATGGGTTGTCATCCGCAATAGAAAATACATTTGTGTACGTATATATCGTATATCGTCGTGTGAACGTGCTAGATTCTTTTGAAGGTAACTTAATTTTACTGAATTATTCAACAGTGAATAATGTTGTATTAAGTATTAACTTTAATTTTACTGAATTATTCAACACTGAATAACGTTGTATTATTAAAAGGCCTATAAGTTAACCTTTCCAAACTCTTAAGTCTAATTACATGTGTGATAAATAAATCAAGTCAAAGTAGGTTGAAAATAAAATAACTCATAATTTCTAATAGTTCATCTAACTTATTTTTAAGTAAAAATGGGTTAGGTCGTTTGCCCAAAAAAAGAAAAGAAAAAGGGTTAGGTCTGACAGAGTTTAATTTTTTATTTTTCCGGATACAAGTTTAGTTTTTATAAGGTATGAACTGGCCTTTTTAAAAATATAATCTAACTTAAAAGTCAATTTAAAAGATTTGTAAAAAAAAAAAAAAAAAAAAGACTTACTTTGTAATAAAATACTTAAATAAATCAAGAGGTCCACTCTTAAATAGGCTAATGAGCTTAAGCCTTTTATGTATGCTGACCAATTTAAATCTTTAAATAAACTAAAAACTTTAAGCCTTGAAACTGGACAAATTTCAAGTTGAAGATGTTACTTATATTTAGTTTGCTCCATGAAGTGTTTCTTAATTTGACATGCGATTCAATTTTCCTGAAGTAACTATAGAAAAAATATATTTTAATGCAGTAATCGGGACTTTCAGTTAGATTAATGATGGCTTAATTTTAACCATTGGAGGTTAAGTTTTTACGTACTAATTCATCATTAATTTTTATCCAGAATTCGTGATAGTGTTGTTGGTGATCAGTGATTACATGTGATGTTTCATCTGGGAACACAATCTAAGTCATTTTACATAAATAACCAACAGGAATTAGTAAAACTAATTTCCTTTCTACGTTTTTGCGCCTATGTTTTCCTTTTAGTGGACATTGACATTGTTACGCTGCTAAAGAAAAATACCAAATTGTTGTTTATTTTTTAGAAAAAAAAAACATTTTCTTCCGTCATACCAAATGACAAAAATAATAATAATATAAATCAGAGTAGACTTAAATAAATGAAAAATTTCATGCGCTGTTAGTTTTCAAATAAAAATGAACGTTTTGTCTACCAAAAACAAATGATAGTTTATTATTGTCGGCAAAAAATATTAAATTCAATTGGGTTTACAATTTTATTAACATTATCAATAGCTGCTTCCATTGTGGACGTGGTCCTGCTTCCATTATTAGAATGAAACAAACCTCGTACTCCAGTCGCGGTGGCCCATTCATTGAGAACCTCTATTTCTTTTCTAGTCATTTCACATCAGTTGCTCTTTTATTTTTATTTAATTTTAACTTATTAGCAGTACAATAATTTTTAATATTATCAATTAATAATATGATGTCACGATATAATTAAATAATATAAAAAAAGTTACATTAACAATAGATTGGAATCAAACATATATTATTTATTTATATTTGAACCTCATTTTAAATTTTTTTGGTTAACTGACCTGAGCTACAAAGGTCCAGAGAATACAGACACAAGGCGGAAATAATTGAAGGCTTTAACCCATAAAAGAGAATTTGGTAGAGTAGAAAATATTTTTTGTCTAAAAATTTTAATGACCCAAATATTGATCTTAGTATTTCGGTCATAGGACTTGGGCTACCATAGCTAAGTCCTACTGTCGTTATCATTCCAATTACATCAATTGGATCTAGGCCCATTAAGAGCGGTTGCATTACGAGGAACAGCAGTCCAGCACAACCCAAAAGAAAAGAAAAATAAATAAATACTCAACTCTAAGAAATACGGTGATATTAATTTTTCAAAAATAATAACTAAAAGGTTTTTCCCACTTATTTTCACGTAAAGACAAATTTTAATTAACAAAATATAGATATTATAATTTAATTTAGGACAATAATTTTTTTATATTACATGAGATAATATTATTTTATGTAAACATTTGTATTACAAAATATATATAATATTAATTTAGGTCAATCTCACAATTTAAAAAAGAATAAAGAAAAATACTAACTCGAATTTATCATGAGATAAATTTCTCATGAAAACATTTCCCTTTAATTTAACGATAAAATGTAAAGAAACTCTGGACATAATTATTATCTTTCAGCATTAACATGACTAACTACTATTTATTTATTTATTTTATTAAAAAAAAAAAAAGGCATGGAAAAAAGAAGACCAGAAAAGAAGAAGATGATGATGGAAAATTGAGGTTGAGGTGAACGTTGGAGTAACCCAGTAGTAATGGCACTGAGAGTGAGAGTGTCTTCTGTTGGGTCACCTTTTTTGCAGTTAGGTTCTACTGCTACTGCCACTGGATTCTCATTCTTACATGCGTGTTCTGTTTCCAAATTGGGTTTTCATCCTCTGCGGCTGCAACTCAACGAAAAGTCATCCCCAAGAAGGCTCGTGATTCGTGGTGCTAGAACGGAGTCCAAAGGTGCTACCTTGGGCTTCAGAGCCCCCCAATTTCAGGTTTTTTTTACCTTTATTTTATTTGTTTATTATATTCTTTCAAAAATGGAATATTTACATTTTTTTTATTTATTAAAATGGATTCAAATTGAATTAGCTTCCAGAGCCTCTTACTGGGAAGGTTTGGACATTGGAGGATTTTGAAGCATATCCAGCTCTACTGGTAGGACGCCACTTACCCTTCAATCTTTGTATTTTTTGTCATCTTTGTTTGTTTTGCTCACTTCACTGATTATTCAAATTTATTAGGCTATGTTTGGAGCCTTGAATATAGAATGGTAAGGAATTCATTTCAATATAAATCTTGTCAAAGTGGTAGCATTTCCAAGTAATTTTCATATTCATACAACAATTCATTAAAAAATATACTATAGAATAGCAGCTTGATAAGTAGCTTCATTTTGTGGCTAAGACTTGAAAAAGGGTAATCAGAAAATATTATTAATTGTGTTATTAATCTGATACAAAGAGGTCTCTATTTATAGAGATTAAAAGACCTAATTCTTGACCTAATGGGCTTGGCCCAATACAACAAATAATAATAATAAAACATCTAATAAAAGACCTAATATTTACAACACTAAGTTTTATGAACTGTTCTGGCAGTTCTTCCTTATGAATTGTGATACACAAAGCATGAGTGTTTTGGAAATTCTGTTTTAAGTCCTGTCTCTAGTTTGCTAATTTAGTGAAAATGCGATCTTTCTCCCTGCTCAGTTATATGACAATGCTCGTTTTTCCTCCCACTTTATGTGGTCATGCAGGTTATGTTTATATGCAATCACTGTCCATTTGTTAAGCATCTGAAAAAAGACATTGTAAAGCTTACAAAATTCTATAAGGAGGTACACAAATCAATTACCCTAGAAGAAATTTATTTCTTTCTTCTGTAGCAGCTCGAACTTGCATAAGTAAAAACGATTATAAGAATGTTGTTTCCTCTTTCTCCAGAAAGGACTTGCCGCCGTTGCTGTATCTTCAAATTCTGTAGCTACTCACCCCCAGGTTTGAGTAACTTCATATCCCGGAATAAAGCTAGATTGAGAGTAAGGATTGATTTGTCCAACTTGAAATTATGCCCCACAGGATGGTCCAGAATTCATGGCGGAAGAAGCTAAGCTGTTTGACTATCCTTTCCCTTACCTATATGACGAGGTATGCTTCAGTAAATCATAACCTGTTTTGTTTATTTACAATTCACATGCTTTACTAGTTGTGCAGAGCCTATTTGGCTTTGCCTATTCAATTGTATATTTATTATCTGACCAGATTAGGCGAAACATCATCCTTTTTATGGTCATACTTTAAAATCCTTCGGTAACATTCTCTGGCCTCCACACTTTTACCCTGCAGTTGGTAGCATGCTCTATTTGCCTTTAATGTGGGCTGAATTTCATGTTGATATCACTATGATGAAACTATTATAATCCACTACTGGAAATCATGTTAAGCAAAGAGTTACCCAAACTATCATTGAAACTCAAAATTCACAAGACATCACCGAGCAAAAAGTGGTCAATCTACACTGTTTTCTCCGTATTAAAATATGTGCCTGTAGCAAGGTGTCATATGAATATAACCCCCCCCCCCCCCCCACAACAACAACAACAAAAATAAATTGCAGGCTTTGACTGCTCCTTAGGTAGCAGCCAAATATTGTTCTTTGTAGAATTATTTAATAATGTGTTTCTTTTTATGATATGAATATCTGAACCGTTAATACATATTGAATGTCAACAATTTATCATTAACATTTTTATCCCAAAACTAATGTGTTTTCCAAATCATATTAACATTTTTATCCTGAAATTAGAAGCTCTTTTCTGATAGCAATAACTCAAATGGAATTGCATCCTTATTGCAGAGGACTTTTCATCTGAGGGTTAATTAAAAGCAACCAACTTATTGAAGATCTGATGTTACCTTTATTTTTAATTTGGTAAAACCCTGATATTTGATGAAATGTTTTTGGTTGCAGTCACAGGATGTTGCACGAGATTTTGGAGCAATTTGTACACCTGAATTTATGCTTTTCAAAAAGGTAATAACAACCAGTATTGGTCATCGTATTGCACATTGATCAGTGACTTTGATTTGGGGTTAAACTAAACCATCAAATGTCATTGTATAACATATTTCCATCAATTAATCAAATTGTAACAGGATGGTCGAAGGCCGTTTGAGTTGGTTTATCATGGCCAGTTTGATGATTCACGGCCAAGTAATAATGTACCAGTCACTGGAAGGTTGGTTTCTTATAATTGAGATAGCATCGAACAATTATTCGAACATTCTTAATCTTTTGATAGCAGTAACCATTTGATCTTCTTTATATAGAGACTTGAGCTTGGCAATAGATCTTGTTCTAAGTGGCCAGCAAGTATCATCAGAGCAAAAACCTAGGTACTTTATACATATTCTTCTACTTTTAGTTGTTTGAGCTCCTTTCAAGCTTTGGTCTCTTTCATGATCATGTGCTTATGGTTGTGTTTTTCTATTTGTATGAAGTGTTGGATGCAGCATAAAGTGGCACCCGGGGAAGAAGTTTTGATCTATAAATTGTAATTGTTATGTTCAAGATAGTAATCAGTGAGTTCAAGTTTTTCTTTCAGGTTTTCTATTTTTTATGTAATGTCAATAACCATATTGGAATCTTACTCCCGCTTGTTCTTTTCTTTCCATTCACTCATTCAGTATTCCTGTTTACACAGAATTTCGGAATGTGTGATTTGCAAGGAGATGGTGTATATTCTGTTTCTTATATTTACTGGATATTTCACTCAAGCTGATGGTACGTTAATATATATATATATATATATATATATATATATATATATATATATATATTAGCATTCGGTCAGACGAGGTTACGGTCTCCTTGTTCTTTGATTCTTGTGTTGTAATAATTAGGAAATTTGTTTTGCAATCCTTCTGGAAATGCAGTCTTATTTGTGATATTTTCTTTTTTGTAAACTATTTATGATAATTTCTAATATGTGGAGTTTGGTATTTGAATATTTACATATCCTTTAAAATAAAATTGTAGTGTTTTTAATTTTGGGAAAACTTCTTGTAACATCCCCAGCCTCGAGCCGGTTCAATTAACATACATATGATACTTAACAGAAACAGCGGAAGACTTAAACTTACGAAAATACGAGCTAACTTTTTCTTTTTCCCTTTTAATTCTCCTTAGGCGTAAACGAAAATCGGACAAAGTAATCTCTGTAAATCGGATAACTGGAGATCTTTCAATCCCACTCTCTAGAGTTCTTGATAGACAGTTTAAACAATATATATATCCAGAAGTACCAGTCATGCAAATATACTCAGATACCCATCCATGGGCGCATGCAGAACTTGGCTCCGTGCCACTAATCTAATAGCATGCAATCCAATACATAACATAACTGAATATTACATAGTCATATCAACATGCCTGAATACACAAATGTACATGCATCGAATATGAACACTATACAACAATACATCTTTTTCAAAAATACGTCTAAAATAAATAGTAGCCTCCAACCACCCAGAACTCCACATCCTCATACTAGTACCTCTAGCCACAGTTAGTGTCCTTGTCCCATGAGGCTCTTCAATTAACTGTGTTCCTGAAATCATATCCCCAAATGGGGTTAGAGACGAATCTCTAGTAAACTTCAGGTTTATGGAAAACTCTCCATATCCTGGGCTCACTTCCTGCATGACAGTCAGATACATAATATACAAAACATCATATAAGCAATTATCATAACTAAACAAAGCATATATACATATCTTATCAAAGACATAAGCAGTCATTCCCAAGGGATGACCCCAAGCGGAAATCAACGCACGTAACAAATATCATTTACAACATCATCACAATACTTACATCAGAACAAAAATGTTATATCAGAGACGTACGCAATCGTTCCCAAGGGATGACCCCAAGCGGAAATCAATGTACGTAACAAATATCATTTACAAAATCATCATACATATCACATAAAACATGTCATATAATCAAATATCATAACTAAACAAAACATATACACATATCTTATCAGAGACGTACACAGTTATTCCCAAGGGATGACCTCAAGCGGAAATTAACGTACGTGTTCCCTAAGGGAGTACCCCAAGCGGAAACAACAACATATCAGATATGTACACAATCAATCCCTAGGGATGACCCTATAATGACCCTAACTGGTAAATCTTAGTTAGAGATTTAATTTAAGGATTTAAATGCCATAATTAGATTCAGTGAGCAATTTCGAGTATTTTGACTGTAATCATGACTATGTTATGAACAGTGCGTTCTGCTGGAGAATTTACAGTTTTGTGAATTAACCGGTAGAGCTTAAAAGAGCAAAATAATGTTAGAGACATAATTTGATAATTCTGACGACAAATATGAGTTCAGAACGAAAAATTGTACAGTCTGGCACTTTCCGTGAAAATCTCGCGAATAGTGTTTCTACCGGGTATTTTGTACTGCTGTTTAAGCAACCGGTAGAGTCCAGAAATAAATAATTGATGAAGTAAGAATAAGAAAGTCCAATATATGCCAAGCAAGTCAATATAGGCCCAAGAAAATGATAAGTTTATAAGTGTTAAGTTTCAGAATTAAATAAAGTACAGTTAGTGGTTCACAGTGCATTTCGTTAAAAACGGTGCAAAAACCATACTGTGAATTATAAATATTGTTCCTTAGAAAATAACAGTTAATGTAAATGACTTTAGAAAAATAAAAATATATTTGTAGCTTTGAGTTAGTTCCGGGTTAGTTTAAGTGAAAATACGCGAAAGAAAAATACCCGGGTAAAAGGCCACATGTGCTCACCTTTTTAAGTCACTTAAGCTTCATTTCCAAATAAAATTCTCTCTCCTCTCCTCACTCCAAACCCGAGCTGCACCATGAGAAAGGGGGTTAGGGTATTTTTTTTTGATTTTGTTGATTCTCTTTGAATCTTCCACCAAATCTAATAACCCACCACATAAAATTGATTAGGAACTACTCAATGAATCCATTGCACCTATCCATTTGAGCTATAGTTGAGTGTGTGAAGAGTTATTCCTCCTCTCATTTTCGAGTTACTATTCATTGGAGGAGAAAAAGTGAGTTTTTGATGGAGCTTGGCTTGGAGATTGCTCTCTAGGCTTTGTACAAGTGTTTAGAGGTAAGAAACCTCTATTTCCATGATATTATTTTGATGATTTAAGTTATGAAATATATGAGCATGTTGTGAGTGGGGAATAATTGATGTTAGAATGTGAAATTTATGATAGATTATTGTTGTTTAGGAAGTTATAGTGTTGAGTAAGCATCCACATGTGATATAAAAATTTAAAAGCCCTATTGCATTTTCCTCCTAGGTTTCGGCCATCATGGAGTGAGTAGGAGTTATTGTGGAAAAATTATATTATGTATTGTGAAGGTATAGTGTGTTGGAAATGAGTGAAAATGGATGAGTTAGTAAGAATGCCTAAGTAAAAAGGACTTGGTGTCTAAACTCAAAATAGGAATTTAGTGGAAGCATTCCTAGGTGTTTGCAAGTTGTAATGAAGTAACGAAAATGTATTGTAAAAGAGAAGGATCTTTGGAAATTCCCCTTATAGGATTCGACCTATAGGGTATTTAGGGATATATTTTGTACATTTTATTTTAAATAAAATGTGTTGTAATAAATTGTATAAAAGTGATGAGTTTTGAAGAAAAGTAGCATGATTTATGTTGAAAATTCCTAAGGGAATGGTTGATTAAATTAAAGAACACCAACGGTTATAAAGGGGTCTAGACTTGTGTATTGGCATAGGATTGGCAAAAATGCAAAGAAAGGAAAATAAGCGATAAAATGTATGCTTATGAAATAATTATGGTATTGCATCATTTTATTGATGCATTGTAAATTATTCTCTAGGTGTGCCTAGGGATTGAGAAGGATCGGAAATCTCTTGAAGTGATAAAAGTAACTTGTTCCACAAGTAAGCGTATTGGTAAAGCTTCAAGAGGTAAGCTCTATGTTTAAGGAGTCTTTTCCTGCTTGAGTGCTCCACCATGGTTAGTGAACTATGGTTGGACTGTATGACTGTGATTTAGATGCTTTGTATAGATGCATTCATATAGAGTTATTTGATAACATGATATGTTTTGCTCTGATATGACTTCTGTAATTTGATTTCTGTAACAATCTCTGGCCATTGATTGTATAGTACCCGGACGTCCGCTTTGGGGTCCTCCCTCGGGACCGATGGTGTACTCCTCTGATATGTCTGGTTCCGCTTTGGGGTCCTCCCTCGGGAACACGTGCGTTGATTTCCGCTTGGGGTCCTCCCTTGGGAATGACGGCGCACATCTCTGATATGATAAGGATATATGCTCTGTTCTGTTATGATATCTGTTATATGTTGTATTCGTATACTTTGTATCTGACTTTCATGCAGGAGTGAGCCAGGGGTATGGAGAATTCTCTATAAACCTGGAGCTTATTGAGATTTGTAATCTCACCCCTCTTTGGGGACACATTTTCAGGTGCCCAGATTTCCGGTGAGTCCTCACTAGGCAGGGACACGACACGTGGCTGAGGCAGTTGACAGACCGGATTTTGAGTGGCTGTAGGCTACTACCTTTTTGGAGTGTTTGATGTATTTTAGTATTTTCGCATTTGATGGATCATGATATTGATCCTTTATTTTGTATATGGCCTGTATATGTTTTGTACATGTCTGTCGCTTTGATGCATGTACATTTGGGTATTCAGGCACGTTATATGATGAGGTAGTATTCAGATATGTTTACGTGTTGGATTGCATGCTGTTAGATATAGTGGCACTGAGCCAAGTTATGCATGCGCCCATGGATGGGCATTTGATTATATTTGTATAAACTGTTTATCAGGAAATGCTTCTGTGAGGGATTGGAAAATCCCCAGTTGTCCGATTTATAGAGGAAACTCTGCCCGTTTTTCGTTTACGACGAATGAGAATTTAAAAAGAAAAAGAAAAAGTTAGCTCGTATTTTCAGAAGTTAAGTCTTCCGCTGTTTTCTGTTTTATCATATGTATGTTAATTGAACCGGCTCAAGACGGGGATGTTACAGACCCCAACCAAAACATATCTTCACTGAGCAAAACATATATACAAATCTTATCAGAGGCGTACGCAGTCATTCCCAAGGGAGGACCCCAAGCGAAAATCAACGCACGTGTTCCCAAGAGAGGATCCCAAGCGGAACCAGAACATATCAGAGGCGTACGCAGTCATTCCCAAGGGAGGACCCCAAGCGGAAATCAACGCACGTGTTCCCAAAGGAGGGCCCCAAGCGGAACCAGAACATATTAGAGGCGTACGTAGTCATTCCCAAGGGAGGACCCCAAGCGAAAATCAACGCACGTTTTCCCAAGGGAGGACCTCAAGCGGAACCAGAACATATCAGAGGCGTGCACCGTCAATCTCAGAGGAACCCAAGAAGACATCAGTGTACCATACAAGTCAATCCCAGCCAAAGATCAATACAGAAATCATATCAGAACAAGTCATATAACAAATGTGTACACAGTCAATCCAGGGGAGGACCCCAAGTGGGAATCAGTGTACGTGTTTTCAAGGGTGGACCCCAAGCGGAACTCAACAAAACATATCATATTAACACATATCAAAGTAAACCCATCAAAACAAAACATATCATATTATCATATAGCTCTATATGAATGCATCTATATCATATATCTCATACATATCATACAACCTGACCACAGTCCGTACACTATGGCGGAACACAAAGTAGGAGCGAATCCCATAAACATAGAGCTTACCTCTTAGAGCTTTACAATTTGCTTACTTGAAGAACAAGTTACTTATCTTGATCCATGAGAATCCAAACGTTCACAGTCCCTAGGTACACCTAGAGAAGGAATTAAGACAAAAATCAATAAAATGTTGTAATGCCATGAAATTTACACAAGGCATACATCTTATTGCTCACTTTCGTTCACTCACATTATGCCAATCCTATGCCAATTTACAAGTCAAGACCATGCCTTTACAAATTTCGTTTCATTTTCCATTTTATAATCATTAACGTCCCCTAAATTTACTAAGTAGCCACTTGAGAATTTTTAACATAATTCATGCCATTTTCCTTCATAAGGCCGTGGGTACTCATAAAGGAGACCAAGGCTTCTTTCAACAATTTTCACGTCATTTTCATTCTCCAACTCATCAATTTCAAATTCCAAACGAAATTATGTCCCACCAAAACATGCTCAAAACTTTCAAGACTTAATTCACAAAATAAAACCATGGAAATAGAGATTTATTACCTCTAATCCCTTATACAAAGCCTAGAGGACAACCTCCAAGCAAAGCTCCACCAAAACTCCAATTTCTTCTCTTTGATGAATAGTGATTCACAAAAGGGGAAGGGGGAACTTTTTACACAAGCATTTTCAACCTAAAATAAGTGGTGGGATGGATTCATTCGATGATTTACTATAAATTTCATGTAATGGACTTAAGGATTTGGTTGAGTGTGGAGAGAGAAATCAAAGAAAAAAAGAAAAGGAAACCTAGCATGAAAAAAAATGGAGACGGACGCGTACTGGGACGGAGAACAAATGAACAAGGTCACTGTGTTTTAGAGTCAAATAGGTTAAGTTACTTTAACTGGGTAATAACTTATCTATCTATACACCTCCATTCAATACCAAACTTTACCCAATGAACTAGAATATTTTTTCAGGCATATTTTTAACTTTACTTTCACTTTTCGGATAACTTTGTTTACCCGCATTTTTACCCCTTAACTGTCATTTTAACTCCGTTTTCATCAAAGGTGACTCTATTTCTTTTTCTTTATAATTATCCTTCCATATTAGATTCATAATTAAATGTGAGGATCATTATACTTCTTATCATATTAAAGGACATAAGTTGTGTCCTTTTAGCTGCATATAACTGTTTTTCGGAGAGTATATAGTTATAATATTAAAGTTATTTTTTTTTTCTACGTCAGCCTATAGCTTGAAGAGAGAAAAAAAATACAATTTTAATATTATAACTATAACTCTGATACCATGATAAGCGTTACTTCAACTCAAAACCTTAAGATGTTAGGTTAGGGTTTTTTTTAATGTTTTTATATTATTTTCTAACACACTCCTTCACGCAAGAGCTCTTTGGCTTGAAGCGTGGCACTAGCCCAATTTTTTGTTTACTTATTGTGTTTTTTATTTAACTCCACAAGTGGGGGATGATGAAGATCGAACTCGTGATCTTATGGTCACTGAAACTTTGATATCATGATAAACGCCACTTCAATCCAAAATCTTAAAATGTTAGGTGAAGACTTTTTTAATATTTTTATATTATTCTCTAACAGGTTAAAAGGACAAACCATTTTACTTTTAATTTTATGTCCAGCGTTGCAAATAAAACTATACAGACAATACAAGATTAAATTACATTAACATCCTCTCATGTTTATGAAGTATATCAGAAACCTCTCTAGTTTTTGAAACTACACTGACGTCTATTCTAAAATTTTACTAGACAAATACCCTCGGCTTAATAATTTTCCGGACAAAATATACGTCTTTTAGACGCATCCTTGAAAAATAAACATGGGTTGTCCGTTTGATTTGTCTTGTAATGATAGTTTCGAAGTTCCAAGCTTGCGAAAGACCATCACAACATGGTCCAGTTCTTTCCATGCAAATAGCCTAATAATTTTAATGTGGTGAAGCAAGTAAATGAACTAATGAAGTGACTTTAAAGTACAAAGCTAATTTACTCCACCTGTTATTTTTATTTTTTAATAGAATAATTTACCTGAATTATCATCTTAGCGGACATTAATACATGTGTGTGGGTGTGTTGCTTTTAATTTTTGTTTCTTAAAATCACACTAGTTCCTTGGTTCTGTCCCAAAATCTTGTGTAGGTTCATCTATGTTTCCGTATGTGTCAGTGTCTCTAATTATTGTTTTCCTCCTAACAAGGGTGGTTGTGCTCCCTTTGACGAATAATCCCTTTGTTCTATTGTTGCTGACGTACGCAGTTCTATTTTTTTTCTCTCTCTTTTCATTTATATATTATTCAACTGCTATTAATATCCATCAATCTAGTACTGAGTGTAAAATTTCTTCGATGCTATATTTCTGTATGCTGCTATAGAAATAAATCATTTGTTTCCATCGGTGGATGGTGAGTTTGTGTTGTGCGAGAAGAAGTTTCAAAATTGTTTTGTTATATAAAGTAATAAACATAGGGAAAAACTATTCTCATATCACATGAGACAAGTTTTCTTTCCTACACACTCTTCGATAACTGTGACACTTTTTTCTTTTCTTTTCTTTTCTTTTCTTTTTTCAGGTGGTGGAGCTCACTAATTTGTCTCTATGACATGAGATAACTATCTCATTTAACATGAGATTAATAAAACCCATAAACATAACATGTTAGGTATCAATTATATTTCGCATTCAGATGCTGACTCTTGTTGGATGGATGCAGAAAAAGCCAATAGAGGTTCGCTCATTGTAAATAAAGTGTTTTGTAATGAGTGCATTGAGAAGAATATAGTGAAATATTGCTGGATGTAGCCCACGTTGAATGAATCAAGTAAATTTATTGCCTTCTCTCTTTTCTGTTTCGTGATTGTGTGTGTGATTATTCGATCCTAGTCTAACATACCATAAACTATATGATAATGAAGTTCTACATGTATTGAACAACATGCATTATCTTTTATAATTGGGCCAAAAGAACCACATATATTACCTTTCTAATTCTAGATGTTAAATGTTTCTTTTATGAGAAAATAATGATTACTTAATATTGATGGTTGCTTGCGTTCCTAACAAGGGGAGAAAATATTTATCAAACTATCTGTGGGCCTAGAATAGTCTCCTATCACATGAACAAAAGCAAGATTTCTTTTCAATAACATGGAGCACGAGCAATCTCTATCTTTACATAAATAATTGCTGGGGACATTGTGAAGGATGGTGGTCCATGTGCTTCTCTTCTCTCTATAATTTTGCGTTTAGAAGTTTATGCCAGGAAATAAGATACTGTCAATTCTTGCTTTCTCTGGCCCATCTATGTCCGTATTCTCAAGTCCCTTCTCTAAGAAGTCATTATTGACAAGGTTAATTGAACCTAAGGGCTATGGTATAAGGAATGGTACCACTATTCATTGCTACTTCTTCTGCCACAGTTGTCGACAAAAACTGGTTTTGGGACTATGTCCTAAAGCATATTCTTCGTGGATTTTGGTACACTCCAAATGACAGTTTGATACTAGATTGCAAGAACGTTACTCTATGCTAATTTTTTTTAAAAAGAAAAAGAGAGTAAAATAGAATATAGAGACTAGAGAGTGCTAAGCTATGAGGTGTTTCAAGTTTTTATATTCCTTTTACTTGAATTTGGACAACAAAAAGTGGTAGTTTTTATAGACAGCAATTGTAGGACATGATCAACTTAAGGATGCAAGATTCTGGTACCTCTGGCTTAACATAATTGTAATGTGGAATTTCCATAAGAATAATATTAGTCTATACACATAATTTGCCACTTGAATAAAAAAAAACAAATAGATATTAACAAATGTAGTAATCAATTTGGGGGCTACGAAGAAGAAGAAGATGATTCTATTAAATGTTCACATGATCTGGAGAAACTCGAACAGTGAACTGCTGCTTTTGGATTGGTAACCATGCCTTTATGGAGAATATTTGGTTTCTCAAAATCTTCATTACCATGCCTGATCTCCTTGAGCATTGCTGTTACATCTTTCATTGTAGGTCGTTCTTCTGGGGATGGATTCACACAGAGGATAGCCACCCCTAGCACTTGAAGCATCTCTGGGGTCCTTGTTCCACACTGCATTACTAGTTGCTGGTCAAGGATAGATGTAAATTCTTTTTTCTTCTCTCGAATTTCACTGATAACCCAGGTGACAATGTGGGCACCCTCTGGAATCCTGTTATCAGTTGGTTCCATCCCAGTTAAGACCTCAAGTAGCACAACCCCATAACTGTACACATCACTCTTCTCAGTGATCCTTAAACTGTATCCATATTCTGCAGTTTGTCACATAATACTATGATTAATCATCAGTCACAATGAGGTAGGTAAAATGACCCAAATATAGACATAATATACAGAATTAGAAATAGAACGTCTTAAAGTCTAAACACACTGATTTTTATATGTACCGAAAAGAATAAAAAGAATGTCTTAAAGACTAAAGAGATTGATTTTTTAAAAAGTCTTTTTGATAAAAGTTAGTTAAGACTGAATAGTTTTGTTAATCAGACATTGGCAAAATGAACTTGTTTTAGAATCCCAAAAGCTTTTACACTCACCAGGTGCTATGTATCCATAAGAACCTGCTACTATATTAGAGGCTCCTGAACACTCTGAGGAACTCACGAGTTTTGCAAGGCCAAAATCTGCAAGAAAAGCTTCAAATTGTGGACCTACCAAGATGTTGTTAGCCTTAATATCCCGGTGGACAATTGGAGGGATACAATCATGATGAAGATATTCTAAACCATGAGCTGCTCCCAGTATGATCTTATACCTTGCATCCCAATCCAAGAACAATCTCTTTTCATGGAGCAATCCAAACAAACTCCCATTACATATATAATCAAACAAGAGCAATCTAGTTCTTCCGTTGTCACAGCATCCTAAAAGTCTCACTATATTTTTATGCCTTATTGATCCAAGGGTCCGAACTTCTGCACTAAAAAGATCTCTCTCTGGTGGCTCTTCATTCTTTATTGGCCATAGCTTCTTCACTGCAATAAACTGTCTCATTGGAGTCTCTACACGATAAACAATCCCCGAGCAACCCTTTCCCACAATGTTTGAATCTGACAACTTTGTGACAATGTCATTGATGGAGAAGTTGAGTTTCTGGAATGGAGTGAAAGCCCATTCCATTTCACCACCTTCATTAAAATCCCTCCCAAAATTGGCCTCTTGAATTCTGAGAGCTAAAATTACTCCACAAGTGACAAAGATAGAAGTTAAAATAACCCCAAAGAAAGTGTACATAATGATATTTCTTATTGACTTGATGCCTTGGCGATTTTCACTTGCATGACACTTGTTAATGCAAAGCTCAGGATTGCCAGCAAATGCTGCAGCAGGCAAATCCCGGAAGAACTTTGTATCAGGAAGAGAACCAGAAAAGCTATTGTAGGAGACATTTAGAGACACAAGATTGTCAAGACTACCCAATACTCTGAGGGTGCCTGTGAGCTTATTGTGAGAGAGATCCAAAATGGAAAGTTTCGAGAGATTTGAGAAGGTCTCAGGAATAGGGCCTGTAAGAGAATTCAAACTCAAGTTCAAGAGGATATCTAATCCTTGCAAGTAACCAATCTCATTGGGAATGGAACCAGTAATCCTATTGTTACTTATATCCAGCAACTGCAAATCCTTACAAAGGCCTAGTGAATGAGGGATCAAACCATTGATATGGTTTCCACTTAGAATCAACTTATTTAAAGACGTAAGCTTGCCCAAGTTATCAGGAATGCTTCCAGTTATTCTGTTTGAAGAAAGATCTAAGACATTAAGAGCAACTAGGAATCTTAATGAGGAAGGAATGGTTCCTTGCAACTTATTGCTGTGCAAATCAAGCATTTCTAGATGAGCGCAGTTACCTATCTCAGAGGGAATATATCCACTGAGTAGATTATATGACAACTCAAGAAAGCTCAAGCTGCTTAAAAGACCTATTTCTGGTGGAATTTGACCAGTAAAGTTGTTTGATCCCAGACGTAACCTGATCAAGCTGGTGCAACTGCCAATATCTGGTGGAATTTGACCTGAAAGTCTGTTTGATATCAGCAACAACTGAGTTAGTTTCTCTAGATGAAAGAGTGAATTTGGAATCGAACCAGTAAGGAAATTGTGTGAAAGATCAACTGCTTCAAGTTTCTCACAGTTGGATAGTTCTGTTGGTATGCTTCCATGGAGTTGATTCTGCCAGGCAAAGAAGAGAGTAAGTTCCCTCAGTTGTCCCATAACAGGTGGAATCTCCCCAGTGAAGTTGTTGTTATCCAATTCAAGTTGCTTCAGCCTGGAAAAGTTGCCAATATAGGAAGGTATTTCCCCATGAATGTTATTATCAGACAAAAGAAATTCCTCCAATGAGAGTAGACTTCTGAGAGTCACAGGTACCTGACCACTCAGAGAATTCAAAGAGAAATCTATAACCTTCAGATTTGTACAGTTTCCCAAACTTTCTGGAATGGTGCCAGTTAAATTGTTCTGCCACAGCAATATCCTCTTGAGGCTTTGCATGGAACCTAATTGGTAAGGAATGTTTCCAGAAAGCTGATTTTCATACAGAAACAAATTTTCCAAGGCTGAACAGTTGTGAATCTCTGGCGGTATGTGACCTGTGAGATGTGCTGTGTAGACAGAAAGTGTCTTGAGATTGGTAAGTTCTCCTAAACTTGGTGGAATCTCCCCAGAAATCCCAGTAACTGCAAGTCCCAGAAAAACAAGAGCCTTGCAGTCTGATATCTGCATTGGAATTTCACCGTAAATACCTGGATTTCCACCTGCTCTGAGAGTTTCAAGAGCCCTCAACTGGCCTATTTCTCCAGGAATCATACCAGAGAGTTGGTTGTCAAACAGTGCCAGCTGCTGAAGCTTTGAACAGTTTCCAATTGTGGTTGGAATTCCACCGCTTAAGGAATTTGAATTCAATGATAGCCACTGCAGTTTATATAGCTTTCCTATTTCTTCTGGAACGGTTCCTGATAAAGTATTGAAGCTAAGGTCCAAAGTGACCAGAGAGGACAAGTTTCCCACTGAACTTGGAATCTCGCCAGTGAGATTTCCATTTGAGATTACCAGAGTGGTGAGGTGGCCAAAAGAAAGGAGCTGTGGAGGGAAGCTGCTATGAAGATCAATGGATGTTATTATGATCTCTGAAACAAACCCTTCTTTGGAACATTGAATATAATCCCATCTGCAAGGATTTTGGTGGGTTGGATTCCATGAATAGAAGGAAGTAGCAGAGTTAGAAGAATTGAAGGTTGAAAGCCATGAAAGTAGAGAGAGACCTTCCTGGTTGAGAGCAGATATGGCTGGAAACAAGGAGATATTGAGAAACAAAATAAAAAGAGTTAATGTTTTGCTTGACATGATGATGAGGTGGTTTTTCTGCTACTGTTCTATCTCATCCAAACATAGCATCGCTAGTCTCTCAAAGTTACTCTTTATGTCCTCTTTATCATGATACTTGGATATTTGAAATTCCCATATCTCCATTTACAGCTATTGATAAAGATGTAGACCGTTCTTTATCCTTCATCCTCAAACACTATTTCACTATTTCTCTTTTATATTTGAAGTGGATTAACTGCTAAGGCTGAAGAAATACAAATTAGAAGCATTAATCAGATTGATGGGTAAAGAAGACGTGGTGGTACAAGGTTTTCTAGTTGGCTAAGTACTATCAACCCTTCCTTGCAGTATTTTTTATGATTAAAATGAACTAAGAGGTGTTGAAACCGTAAGAATAAAATATAAAAGCAAGTTCTTACTAAATTATTGACCAGATTTCTATGCGATCTAACAACATTTTTCGTACAAGATTCTGCAGTGTGTAAGGGAGCTGTATACAAGATCTAATGCTAGAGAATATCCTCTTTGAAAATGACTGCATCGCCTTTTTAGTGTCTACTGGGTCCTGTGCATATGTTGCTATTTGTGTCGTGATACCTATTTGGACAATACGAAAGGAAAAAACTACTATAGTTTGACAGAACATTCTTATGGTGGATAAACTTTGAGACCTAAATGTAACTAGTAAGCCTGCAAGGTGTTGGTCTTTAGTCCCAACTACTTTCCCTATATGGAATCAACATGAACAGATGAGAATAAAATCCATAAACCTGTATGCCAAAATTGTATAAAAATATAAAGAAACATAATTGTTTATTCTTATTTTATTATATACTTGTATAAACTGACTTGTTCTTTTTCATTGACAGAATCTTTATGTACACAATTTTCTTTGGGATAGCTTTTTTCTTCCCTCCTTTTTAGATTAGTTAATTAAGGGGTTTAAGGTTTATAGGTTTAGGTTTAGGAGGATTCTTGATTCTCATACTTCGTATTTTTCTTCTCTCTGAATTATTTCATATATACATACATAAGAAAAAAAAAGTACTTGCGTGTACTAAAAATAAAAAAAGTACTTGCAGAAACTGCTTATATATATGTGAAGAACATGACAGCAGTTACTATTTTCGATTTTTTTCCCTTTCTTTTAGGTGCAGATGACAGGATTTGCCGCGAGTTTCCCAATTCATCATAATGATGGTTCATCTAACTTGGCATAAGAATCCAAGTATTGTGATGGACCAAACAGCACCTAATAAACAAATGATGAACACATATAAATTAGAAGTGGTAGAAACCACAGTGCTTCAACCTTTTCTGTTATATATGCATGGTGAGGTCTCAAAATCATGTTGTATTTGATAAAGTTGTTTCTTATCATGAAAGTCAGCCGGTGAGCTTCCAAAGGGACAAAAATATAGGTACATATATGCCTTTCTTCTGATGCATGAACCATCTCCTATTCCAACTAATAGTGATGTAAATCTAACTCTTTGCAGAGAGTTTTATTCTTTAAATAATAGCTTATATATCAATAATCAGATGAATTATTCATAAAAATGAAAACTATGCAGCTCAATTAATTGTAGCTTTTGGCCCATACCCTGTGGTGGGATGTAGCTAGAGATATGTGGGTCAGGGATTTTGATTGGTCTGAGAGGAGGGTTGAGATTACTACTATCACTACTGAATTATTACTTGTCTTTTTACTGTGTGTGATACATTGGGAAATAATTGTTGAAAATAGCAAAGGCAACTTTGATGTGAAGAAAGCAGACAGAGAGAAAATTTTAGAAGACAGAAAATGATGTCTCAATAGCACAGGCCTTAAGGAGATGTTTGAGTGATTTGAGGATGAAAACAAGTTGGGTATCTGTTTAGGGATCGTGTGGGCCATAGGATTAGGATAAGCTGTGGATTTGGAAGGTGGGGACAAGTGATTCCCTAACCACAACTTGAGGTTAGTGACTAATTTTTACAATGGCCATTTTTGTTTTGTAATTAGTCTTCTTTAACCTCTTCATTATAAGATTGACCTCCTTATTCTTTCTTGCGAAAAAAAAAAAAATTATTAAGCCATTGACATGCATAATTTTCTAGAGTAATAAATAATGTTAACTACTATCTCTAGGGGTTGTGGTTAAAGTGATTTAAGGACTACATGACTTTGAATAATCTGTAAACAATCTTAGACCAGGTCCTTAGTGTCAAACTCATCTCCTTGGGTTGTGGTGAGCTATAAACTCAACCATTTGAGTCATGATTTCAAGACAAAGTCTATGAAGGGTAATTATGGGATAACAAATATAATCCAGGCCTACCACATTAATCCCATTTTATGTATGATATATTAATGAATATTGTTACATATATTTTTATATTAAAAACTCACTTTTCTATTTATTCAATAAATTAATAATGCAAATACGAGAGTGTAACTTTTTCCACTTTGGTCTTTGACCAGAGTCCCAGACCATCTTATAAGCATTTGTTGTGAGAACAATTCAATGAATACTATTTTGACTAAGACATATTTCAATATTTGAATTATGTTCTCCTCAGGACAATGTGACTTATCTACCAGCACATTTAATCCTTATTTGTAAGCGGAGTTATTTTTTTTTGTAATTATTGTTATTAAGAATCGTGAGGTTGTGAGAAAAAATCTCCACTCCAATTTCGAGCGCGCTTGATTACAATTGAGAATGTAACATTTTTTTTTTAAACTGGGTGAAGTTTATATTGTACTCTAAGAAAAGATATATATAATTATGACTACCAAAGATATAGATAATTATGAATATGCAACTGAAGAATTAGAGTTATAACGAATATTTAGGCAAAATATTTTATCGCGTATATATTAAACAGTTTCTTCGTTTCTTTTTCATGGCATGCTTCATAATCCTTTAATACTTGACAAAAATAAATTCCTTGGGTTCGATTCTTATTTAAAGCCTTTATTCCTAAACTTTTTTGTATAAAAGAAACACAAAATACCATTTATGATATTATATTTCAGTTAACATAAAGTATAGTTCTATATTGTTTTAGCATGCGTGTGAATGGTTTTAAAATGTTGAATGCATAATATATGGTTTGGTCTCATCATCAACTTTTTGCCTTAACCTCTCTTATCATATTAAAAATTATTCAAAATATATCTAAAATTTCTAAACATATAAAATAGTTATTGAACCCCAAGTATCTTCCTATCTTTTTTTTCTTTTTTTGGTATACCGACCTTAATTACTTTTTTAAAGCGAGTCGGCCCTCAGTATCCCCACAAGCTTTAATTCTTTGTGCAAGTTACAATTAAAGCTTTTTGCTCTTTCCAAAAATATTTTTGGTGAGACTCGAATTCAAGTTCTTTCATAACCTATTTAATATATGTTGTCAATTGAGTTATACTCATTGAACAATTGTACAATATATAAGAGATGGTACATGAAGCATGTTTGGCGTGTTATTTTTTTTAATCTAAAAATTATTTTAAGATAAAATTAAAAATAAGAACTTAATTTGATGCATTTTTTTAATTTAGAAATTATTTTAAGATAAAGTTAAAAATAAAAGATTAAAAAAAGTCATAAATATTTAATATTTTAATTTTTTTTTAGCTTTAAAATTCAAATTATAAATGCTTACCAAAAATTCAAATTATAAATAAATTATTTAATAAAAATTTATATAAACTCTATTTTTAATTAAGATTACCATAAAAAGGTATATCATTACAAACCTCTACAGTATTAAGATAAACACAAATATGATATGCAATAAAATAATTTGTTTTTAAAAAATAACAAATATTTCTTTATCAATATATTTAACAAATGAATTTATATATCAAGTATTTTTAACAAATGAATTTATTTATCAAGTATTTTTAACAAATGAATTTAACAAATATTTTAAAAATATTTTTATTTATCAAATACTTATTTATATATAAATATTTCCAGAATATTTTTAATTATACTAATATTTAAAATAATATTTTAATATATGAATATATTTTGTTTCACTCAACCACTACAAACAAAATGCTGATTAGCCACATTTAAAAATGTGGCAACCATTGATAAAAAATGTGGCTAACATAATTTACCACATTTTGATTAAATGTGGCTAGAAGTGGTGTTGCAATAATTTAGCCACATTATTTTATTCACTTTGCCACATTTTAACTGAGTGTGGTAGCCTTTTTTTGGCCACATTTATTGTTAATTTAGCCACTTTATAAATGTGGTTAAACTATTTGGTTTGCCACAGTAGAAAAATGTGGCTAATTGTGCCTAAAACTTTCTTTAGCCACATTCATGTCCATGGCTTAATGTACGATTTTTTTTTTTAAATTAAAATTATTATGAATTCGATAAATATTACAATAATAAAGAAAATAATGTTGAAAATAGCTCAAACACGATTTAGTGAACACATTAAAATATGAACCAAACACTAAATATTATATTCCATTATCATTGAAGAATACAAAGTCATCATGTTTCCAATTTATATAAGCTAATCAAGCTTTCTACCAATATCATAGTGGAAAAAAATCGCCAAATAAAACTATAAAATGTTTACTTAAGGGACATCTATACAAAAAAATATCTTCTCAATTCCATAAAAAAATATGGTAGTACAAATTTTCCTTATTATTCATTTATGACTTGTTCTTGTATGCCATCCTAGTCCTTTGAAATTGCATCTACCAGATCACACCTGCACAAATCAATTCCATATTATGTTAATATACTATTAATGAGCTATTATGATAACCAACCTCAAAACACCAAGGTACAAAATCCTAAGGTCAGTCTCTACGCTTAGCTAGTGAACACAATCGAGGTCATTCATGTCCAATAATCAACCAAGAACTCAGGCAGACACTAGCCATAAAACAAATAAATCAAGTTTCATTTTTTATGTTATGTGATATCAATTAATGGGTTCATCAAAAAGCACAATAATTGTTTCTTCATTCCCACGCAATTCAAGAGAGCAGCTTTATC